CAAAATCATATGCACCAGGAATGGTAATTTATGGTTTAGCCTAGTGACAAGTAGATTCGGAGACAAGTAAATTCGACTTACATCGCCTCTCCTGGAACCAATTACCAACGTAAGGTGAGGTATACCTGTAGATGCTTGACATGAAGATTTTATTAATGCAAAGCATCTTCTGTTATATGTAAATTATTTCTCCCATGACATTATTTCTGTTTATTTTACATTATTTGTAGTCTCAAAATGATTTGATGATTCCTAGATTATAAAATATTTAGAGGATTAACATCCTAATTAGAAATCCTAATATTTACTTAAATGAAATTAATGTCCAACCCAAAAATAATGTGATTGGCATTAGATATTAGAACTGAACTCGTCTTTCGGCTTCGTGCCAAAGATCTAACTAGTGATGGAGGTGGCAGAGATAAATGAGTTTGTTCAATAGAATAGCTTAGTACATTTAATAAGAATTTGAAAGATATGAATTCAGTTTGCTTTTACGACTGGATATTTTTTTCATTATAATTTGAAATTTTGTTACTTTTGGCTAGATGACTTACCAAAATTTATAAATTGGATATTTATCATCATTGGTACTGTAGGAATATTTTTAAAAATATTGTACTAGTGTTAAAATAGTTGATTGATAAACTTAAGGAGGAGACTAAATAAATTGTGTGTAAATGTATTTTATAATTGCTGAATCTTTATAGTATTGATCAACTATTAATAAAATGTGATTTAGTTTTTGGGGGAGAAAATTGGAAGGTAACTCATTTAGTCTTTAATAAATTAACTTAAATTACATTTTTGATAGATCAAATTTTAATTTAAAGATTAATTTCTATTTTCCTTGTTTTATAAATCATGGCACTAATCATTTCTAATGGCTATAATCTTTATACATACAATTTATATTATTATATATCTTGCTTTTGTAGATATATATTTATTTGTTTTTCATAGAATAACACTTATTTATTTTTCATATATTTATTTGTTTTTCATAGAATGAAGATAATATGAAAATCAAGTAGCATTGTAACTATATGCATATTTATGCATATAGTTATGATGCTACTAAATGTAAAAATATTTGCATGTACAGTATTTTTATAATTTTTTTGTGCGTTTAAAATTTTGATGTTTAACTCATCATTTATTATTGGGAATTACTAAATTTCTGCTTAAGACATTGCCATTATGGTGAATCACCAATAGGAAGGCGTCAGAAGCCACGATGATGAAATGTTTACTTAATGATTAAATAGATTTTTTAGAAAAAAGATCAAATTTAATTATTAATAATTAATAAAATATATTTAAAGATAATTAAGAATTAGAGATAAAGATAGTTAATAAAAAATATTAATGTTAGTTAATATTTAAGAACAATTTCTGCATCTATAATGAAATTGAATGAAGCTCAAGTGTAGCTATTTTTATTCAAAATTTTACAGTGATGAGTCATTTGGGTCAAGGGTTAATTAAAATTAAAAAAAAAATTGGTAATTTTTGCTTTCATATCTTTATTCTTCTCACAGGATAAAATTTGAATGAATAATATAAAGAAAATTAATTTTATATAGAACATGTGCAAAGTTATCTTTTGTTAAGTATATATAGTTCATAAATTAAATGTGCACAATCATTTAAAAAATGTTAAATTGGATAATAAAAATAAATTAGTTGAGCTGTTAATAGACAAGATGAATTTTATTATCAAAAGGAGGATCTTTGGAGAAATTGGATACTTCTGAACGGGATACTAAAATATTTTTTGTTGTTATTTCTCTAAATGGCATCAGTATATTTAAATTATCCAGTAAATTTCTGAACAGAACAGTTAAATATCCTAGGATATATTACAAAAATTTAAAGTATGTATACATTTTCAGTTTTAAATTACATGTTATACATTATGACTCATTAAAATCTACATAATTGATTACTTAGTGTCCTAGATAGAAGTGATGCATCAAACAAAGGAGTAATAATAATAATTTCAGTTGTAATTTTTTAATAATAATGATAGTTTTTCACAATATCATAAGAGTGTCAAAATAAAGTTGTAAATAATTGTCTTAGTATATTTATTTGTTGAATCTCAAATGGAGGATCATGTTTTAAGTTGAAGCGTCTGGATATTCTTATCCAATTTACTTGTCATTTCCTTATTATTGAAAGTACTTTAAGTATGTAGGAATTGAGAATTGCTAAATATTGTTTATAAAGTGAAGAGTATGAGTAATTTTATATTTTTAGTCGACTGTTTTAACATTACTCGCATTTATTTTCTAAACTAACGTCATCTTTCATCCTCTTATATAGTGATTGTAATTAGTATAAAGGTTATTTGTTTTTACCCAAAATAAATAAAAAAGTATGTTGATAATCAAATTTTTAACTCATAAATTTTAAAAATAAAGGAAAAAAAATGTAATTTTGTAGTATAAAATCTAGTTTTTTTTTTAAATTAAACAACTTTAAATAAACAAAGATGAGATGTTGACAAGTTCAAGTTTATAATGTACCCTGCTACATTGCATGTAAGGTTTCCTGTTCCATAAAAATTTCAGTTATGACAAAATTAAGTGAGGGGGGAAAAAGGTCATTCTGTAGTTATTTATAGTAATGATGGTGTGTGATGATTATGAAGCATATTCAGAAAATACACTTATATCTTATGAATCGAGATCCTGCAAAATATGCTTCTTCCGTTATTCTGGAGATTAAATATCAACCAAACTGTCAGAAGACATCCTGCAGATGAATGATAACTGCAATATTTTTTTTTCATCAGGCTAGACTGTGAATCTATTGTATAAAGCTGGAAAAATCATCACGGAATGACTGTACTAAAGATAGAACTGTTCTCTTACCTTGTACTGTTATAGGTCATGGATATGTAAATAGAAGCAATAGTAATCAAGTTTTGCCAAAAAAATAATGCTCTAATCTGTTCTCTTTCTTAACGAATATATGATATAATAAAAATTAAACTAAATTATTATTACACTTTTATGATTTTATGTTTCATAAATATTCGGAAAACTTAAATGCAAAGTAATAAAAAGATTATTACAAGTTTTAATTAAATAAAATTTTAATTACAATTGTCGTAATTAAAACTGCTGGTGTTATCGTCGAATAAAATCGGTAACATTATTATCAACTTAATGATTTATATAATTACTCAATAAAAATTATAATGCAGACATCCTGTCATTTATATTCTTTGTTTTTTTAGGTTTCTCGTCTGGTGATCCTTCACGAAGAGGCTGAAGATGGAAATGCCATGCCAGATCTGTCTCGACCAGTTCTTGCAGTCAGTAAAGCAGTCACAAATCTCGTTAAGGTTTGTTCCAGAATTTTGTAATCTTATTTCTCTTAAAATTCTTTAATGGGGGAAATAAAAAGCTATGCTATCAACTATAAATTACTTAAAAATTGGCTTAGAGTTGGATTTTTTTGCTGTATATACTTTATACCCTTTGTACCTACAATACTAAAAGTTTATAGATTGAGTTATCATGTTTCAGTTTGTATAAACATTTAAAAATTGTGTTAGAAAGGTTAAAAAGTTGTTTAAATGTGTTTGATACCTTGAAAATATGCTGCTAAGTGTTGAGTGCTAGGAAAATTTAATGATGTCTATAAAAGAAGAAAAAAACAAGATAAAGTTTTAAAAAATCTTCTGCGTTATTTTTGTTGTCTGTTAGTATAGCTTTTTCCCATCTGTGTGACACAGCATCCATATGTTTCAAGAGTTTTTCAGATTATCTAGACTTTATCAGTAAAATAAACATTTGAACCAAGAAACTTTTTCCATGTAAAAAAAATGAATAAAAAAATAATTTTTAAATACATTTAATTAGGTTGAATTAAAAATAAGTAGCAAAAAATTAAATTTATTATTAAAAAATTTTCTATGTGAATTTTAATGAATTTTTTTTTTTAAATTTTAACTTTAGTCCATATTATAAAGGATTATCTAAAATACATAGAGAAGAGTAAAAGAATTCTATTTAATTTTTTTTTTTATTAATTTATCTTTTAAACTAATATATAATTTAGTATAGATTTCTAGACTTGAATGTAGGATACTTCTTTAAAAATATATGTTTAAAGAATTAGAGAGATATGGTCGAACTGTGGCTCAGAAGTCACAAGCAACTCTTCTACTGTGGTTCTTGTATATTTAATTATTATAATTAAATATGCAGGAATACATATCCATTATATAAAATACAATTTTTATAGAGAATGTAACTCTTGTATTTCTTATACATGATATTTAGTTCCTGTTGGGACAAGATTCATTCAACTTTGATATTTATCTAACAAATAATAATAAAAAGAAAAGGAATATAAGAATAGAAAAATTAATAGAAGAGAATTTGTGTGTGTTAAAGAGGTTTGAGACTAAGTAACAGAAGTATGAATTTATTATAGAAATATCAAAGTTTCAAAGTGCATATTTTATTTTAAAATGTACCAAACTGACACTGCAAAAGGAACATTGATATAATGTAAAGAGAAACTTATATAATCTAAATTATTGTTAATATAATGTCATATAAATCAAAAATTCAGTAGATTATCTCAAAAAGTATAAGAAAAAGGAATTAAAAAAGCAAATGGCAAAGTGCCAAATGTGCCATATTGGAAAATAAATGAATTATGATAAGAGCAGTATGAAGGATAGGAATTTTTTAAAATTGATCTAGGTTAATATTAATATTGTAAATGCATGAAAATTGAGTTATATAGAAACAAATTAAAAGAAAAAAGAATAAAAGAGAAAATGTTCAGTTAGGAGAATAAGAAAAAAATTAACTTTAGAATGTTTGGAATGTTAGAAGCTATTGTTAAAGGAAAGTTAATAAAATTAGGTTGTAATATTGTCAGATGTATAATAGTTAGTGTATATAAAATGTAGTATATATATATATATAAAAGCCAATTAAAGCCTAAATTGCTGTCTTATTCAAATACTTTTAATTAAAAACTTTACAAAAAATGTTTAAAATGAAATGCAATACAACATACTTTCACAAATTTCTGACTTGATTGCAAAATGGTTAAACTATATACTTAAGATTATAATTATAACACTATAAATAATACAGAATTTATAAATTGTAATACTCTGCAGTGTTTATGGAACAAGTGTTTGTGTTATAACTCAGACTTACATTATAGATATGTTTAATTAGAGTTAAGTTTAGATTTAATTTTTTTTTGTTTTTAATTATTCATTTATTTAATTGTAATTAACGATTTTTCTATTATTGATTGACATTCTGTGTTTTAATTTCCATGTATTGATTATTCAGTACGGCTTGTGTTACTCAGTATAGCATACATGTTTGGAAATGTCAATTTTTTGGTGGTTATAAAATATTTAAAACTGGTAAAACCTATTTAATAAATTGCATTGAAGAAATATTTTTTTATTTTTGGAGGTTTTCCAAAATTAATTTATTATATCAGAAAGGTATGTACTGGTATAAGAAATAATGAGTTCTTTGTAGCATTATTTTATGCAGTTGTCAAAATGAAATTGTTAACATGCCTTTTGTTTGTTTTGTTCTGTGTTGTTATGAAGTATGTTTATCCAACATTACTATTCCAGTTTCCTTAAACATGTATATTTCTCAGTTTGGATATTTACATAAGAAATTTAAATTTTAATGCTTTTGCATTTTTAGCCCATCCTCAAAAGGTACAACCAGTGTAGGACAGGTAACAAATTTTGGTGTGGGAGTATTTAGACCCTTTTATATATAAATGGGCCTATATTGTGTAAGTAAACAACCCACCAGGAAATTCCCGATTTTTCCTGATGGGTCAAACTATCTCTGGGTACAACTCTGAGGATGAGCTCAAAAATATTAAACTTTAAGTGAAATTTTTTCATTAGATCATAAAAAAACAGCTGTACATACTAAATTTTAATTTCAGTAAATGCATAATTAATAATTTCAACACAATTTAAAAGTGCTTTTCAAGCATAAAAAAAACATATATATAATTAAGATGCTCTATTTTTGTAATATTTTTACTAGAATATTACAATTGATTTATAACATTTTCTTTTAAATTTAAAAATTGTGTAATGATCCTTGCAGTAACTATAGAAACAAGGTCACGAAAGTGAGTCATTGTACAAACTTAGTGTTTTCAATATTTACTAAGATTAAGCTAATTTAAAAATAATAATACGCAAAAGTAATACAACTGAGATATATTACAACAATTTAAAGAGATTATTCAAATATTATATTTGTGCAGATGTAGAATTGGAAATACATGTTTATATGATGTTATTCAAGTGAAATTACTACATAATAAGACTATTGTCAAGTCAAGAATAGTTATTTCTTTAATAAGGAAGTGCAATACTTCTTTCTAAAGTGATTCTGATTTATGAAATCGTTGTGTGTGTAAATTTTCTTTTTAAAATAAAAATATTTATAGTTCATTGTACTTTTTACATCACAGACTAGCAATACATACTGTTCAGAGTATTAGCTTTATTTTGTGATATAATTTTAAGCAGCTAAATGTAAATTTTCTTCATAAATTATTTAATTTAAAATGATTTTATTCGTCTTATTTTTGCTATTTATTATTACTTTACTAAAATTAAATTATGGGATTATAACTGATAGATGGACGGAGTAATAACCACAGTAGCCTGTTGTTGTGAAGAATCGTGGTTTGAGAGCCTGCATAGAATTTTTATTGATAGCTTGAATCTGAATGTGTTTGCCACATTCCTTTGCATGGTTGTCTGTTGTAAGCTCTTAGCAACGCTTGTAAGAAGCATTCAAAAAAGGCTCTCTTAGTGACAGGACAGAAAATAAATTAATATGTATTAAACTTATTACTTTAAGAATATGCAATAATTCAAAAATGTTTATTGTGAAATAAAATTTACAGTATACAGTAGAGCGTCATTTATCCGAAAGTCGGTTATCTGAAAGAATTCCAGTTGGCCTAAAGTATAATTTTTATTTGTTTTTATATTTTTCAGTGTATTTATTTCGTTTGTAAAACATACAGAAATAATTTTTAACGATACAATAGCCACGATTATTATTTTAAAAAGTTTACGTTAGGCTTAACATCGACGAAAATTCAACGTGAAGCGACACACAATGGAGAAAAATTTCAACACGGGATAGGTTAATATATTTTTTCATACATAATCGGTTATCCGAACAACCCCAGTCCCCAGTTGATTCGGATAAACGATGCTCTACTGTATTTATGTATATAATAGAATAATCTAATAAGGTTGTTGAGTCAGTGAACACAATTGCTGACTCTGATTTCAGCTTCTTTATACATATTAATAATGGTAAATGTACTGAAATAGTAAATAATACTGTATAAATTCCATCATCATCAGGGCTGCCAAGAGGGAGGAGATGAGGATTTTTCCCAAGGAAACTATAGAAAACTTAGGAGCTTGTACTATTCTTACTCTATATAAATTAATGTTATTTTTATTAACAAAAAATAAAATCTTTAAGATTGTTGTTTATTTATAAAGAAACCTTCTCTATCTATTTCTTTTGTTTAAAAAAAAAATGGTAATAAAGTCTGCTCTATCCAGGCTCCTACCAAGCTTCTGATGCCCTGATCAGCCTACTAATCAGGCTACTTTTTAGACCTATAACTGGTGTTTAAGTGTACATCAAATAGGAGTTAGTCAGAAGCAATTTTCAGAAGATACATTAGAAATATATATAGAGTGTCTTCTAAAAATAGTGCTACCATTTTAAATTATTATAATTATTCAATTTATGAGATCTATGTTAGCTTTTCTTTTCCAATAGACTTATTATACCATTATTTAGAAACAAGACTGCTAATACTACTTTATGTATCATACCATCATATCTAATCAAATACCTGTAAATTAATAATTATCAATCGTCACCATTTCAGTGCTTTGCATAACCATTTACATCAGAGTTGATACGGGACTCGAAGTCCAAAATGCAGGAAATAAAAATGTGATTTTCTAAAGCTTGTCCTGTTTCTAAATGGTAGTGTAATAATCTAGCAGAAAAGAAAAGCTGTCACAGAGCTCATAAATTGAATATAAGACTAGACAAGAAACATATTACATAATTTATTGTAATTATGTTAATTATTATCCAAGAACATTTTAATGTACAGTACATTAAAAGATTGGAAAACTGTCCAAGTTTCATGTTTGCCCATTACAATTTCTCAGTGTGCACCTACATCTGACTGTTACTCAAATTTTTGCTACAGCATATCTTTTTTTGTTTTCCATGTCAGCTACAATTCTACAATTCCTGCTAACTCTCATGTTACACAAGGATGAGTGATTCCGACTTAAACTGCAAAACACAAAATGCCTTCTCTGTTATGGAGTAACTTCCTAGAGATAGACAATGAGAAATTTGAATGCGGATGGGAGATAGAACTCTGATAGTTACTCTGTCAATTGGTGTATGTTGCATATGACTTGGATAATAATTGACATAATTACAATAATTTAAAATTACAGCATTTTTTTTTTATAAGATCCTGTGTATGTATGTATATAACACTTTGATTCACAAAAAATGTTACTTATCACATGATTTAATGATGCAAATATCTTCATCAGAATTTGCCATTTATACTTTTGAATCTAACTGTAGCAGCTTCATTCTTAAATTCCAGGATCTTTTAGTTTTTATAGAAGAAATCTCTCTATGAATAATGGAATAATGTAGCATTAAATGAAATATATTCCTTAAAGAAAAAAAACATTACTATTGTATTTTCATTTTGCCATTATAAAATAATAAAATTCCTAAAAATAAGATATACATTTTATATTTTAGTACTAAACAAAGTTACACAAAATAAATATTTTAAGAAAGTTAATTGTTTTACGAGAAATTAACAAAGGTTGTAAATTATTACTCCACAAATTATTTTGACTAATGACCATAAAAATTTAATTTCTGAAACAGTAAAATTGTTTAATTCATTCAACTTAATGTAGAATGTGATGATGACAAATGAAACATTTAGTTGTCCTAAACAGTTTATTGTACTTTAATTGCATCAAAACATTTGTACGTTATACATTAAGATTTTCTTGTAATTAAAGGAAGAAATTTTTCAATTATTTCCATCAAGCCAATTCTGAAAATTACTTCTTTTCTTTTGTCAATTGAAAGTTTAATAAGTTTAAAAAACTTATTAAACTTTCAATTTGTCTAATTTAGATGTCTAGAACTATTATTTTTAAATAAACTTCTTGACTTCATTATAAAATTGTTAAATGTGAATAAATAATAAAATAAATACATGTATATATAAATAGTTTCTTAATAATTGATAACTGCAAATAAAAGTATAGCATGAAAGAGGTGAGATTTGTGGTTTGGATTAACCACAAATGACATACTTTACCCATCTCTAAAAGACATAGATATATGAATAAAATTGATAAAACAAATAACAAAAGGCTGTTTATACTTATTGAAAGATACTTTATTTTATATTATTTTTTTACATAAAAACCTAAATGTTGAAGACTTTCTTGTGTCCAAGGGCCTAGATCCATCCAAAAAATATTATTTGAATAAAAATTTACTTTGGAGATTTTCCAAAATTAAATTATACAATAAAATAGAAAATGTAAAATTTTAAAGTTGAATCATTAACAAAAAATGCAAATTCATATTTTATTGCAATTTTCAAAAAATAAGTGCAATGATGAGCAATCAGATTGGAATGCAGCTTTTTAAAAAAGTTTGTCATTCCAAATTGCTGATTTTATCATCTGTAATTTTAAATAGTGAAATTTGTTTAATATTTAATTTTTTATGTATTAAATAATGAATTATTCTATAAAATTTAAAATACTTAACAAACAAAACTGCTTTTTAAGAGCATTAAACAACAGTAATAATAATGCATAGAAGTTATAATAATCTTACATTTGTACATTCTGTTTTCCACTTAGAATTGTTTTGAACAAGCTTGCATTATCATTATTTTTCCTTAACTTTTTCTGCCTTGTGGGCACTAAGAGGGTCTTTTTAGCAAGTCCATTATGGGTTTGCAATACCAGGCTAAGCCCACAATGGAATGGCCAGGTAGTGAGGAATGAGGACCAACATATCCAGACAGACTACTGCCAAAAATTTGAGATTTTTCAACCTTTCTGGATTCAATCCTGGGTTCTCCAGAACAGTAGGCAGCCACTTTTATTGCTTGGTCATTTAGCCGTCACTTGCATTTCATTAAACAAACTGTTTAAATTATATTTTAGTTAAAATAAAAAATTCTGGTTTACATCTTTAAAACCTCTAAAATTAATAAATTGTACTGTACATACCAGTACAATTTATTAATTTTGTGAAAAATTTCAATCAATTATCTATATGCTTAATACCAAAATTTTCATATCCTACTTTACATGTATGGCATAATTTATAATAACCATTTCATTAAAATTTTGTAAATAAGATTTTAAAAAATTGCTTTAATTCAAAATTAGGTTGGAAGGGAGACCATTAACAGCAGTGATGATCAAGCTTTACGACAAGATATGCCTTCAGCTCTCCAGAGAGTCGAAAAGGCTTCTAAATTATTGGAAGAAGCATCCACCTTACTAAGCAGCGATCCATATTCTCAGCCTGCACGCAAGAAATTAATAGATGGAGCCAGAGGTTTGATCATTTATTATTTTTAAAATTTATTTCTAACTAATATTTAAAAAATCAAAATTTAGTCAAAACATTTAACCTGAAATACAAATTACTTTAAAATTCTGTATTAAAATTTTACACAGAATCTTTACTGTAAGCATTTTGAGTTTTGTTTTTAATTGCTAAAATTTTAATAAACATTAAAATATTTTTGCTTATGCCAGCAATAAATAAATTCATTTTAATTACATTTTAATGTTAAAAAATGCCACTGAAAGAAGCCTAAATACATTTTTTTTCTTATGTATCAGGAATTTTATCAGGAACATCACAACTACTTATGTGTTTTGATCAATCCGAAGTACAAAAGATCATAAGAGAGTGCCAAAAAGTCCTTCAGTATTTACAAGTAGCAGAAGTAATTGAAAATATGGGTGATCTCGTCAAATTTGTAAAGGTAGTATTAAAAAGTTTTCATTTACAAAAATTAAATACACTTTTAATGATTGAAAAAATAATTCAGAATTGGAACTTTTACTGCAGAAAATTGTTCTAGTTTAAAATAATAATTTTTTTTCTTATATTCATGGTTATTACTTTACATATTCTTATCTAATGAGCTATTATGATTCATAAATAATTATTAAATTTGCACTATTAATTATTATTGGAAATAATATCCAGTTAATAACATGTCTTTCTTAAAGATACATAATGCAATTCCAGTTTATAAATAAGTTTTAAAAAATTTATATTACATGAGATAATATATATAAAATTTACAGTTGAGAGTTAACTTTTTATATATTTTCATTAGTTTTTATTTTTCTAGTTTAGATAAATTAACTTTTTAACAATTATATTTAAAATGAAACATGTTAATATTAATATGTTGATGAACTGTATAAACTAAACAAATATAAGTATAAAAGTGTTGTACAGTACATTGATCCCATTATAAAGGAATTCAGTATATAAATATTTATAATCCACTGATAATGATATTTCCACTGAACATTAAAAAATTATACTGAATAATTTTTAGGACATTAATGTTGTCATTCATCTCTAAATTGTACAGAATTACATAAATTAATTGGAAAAAATTTAAATTATAAATTATGCATGCAATATTTGTTAAATTTTAATGTTAGTTAATAATAAATTATTAATCCATATATTATTATAAAAGTATTGTACACTCTGAATAATTTAATTTAGTAATTTATTTAAACTTTTTACAAATATTAGCTTCAATTATATATTTATATATAAAATATTTACATTCAAATTTTTATCTGATTTATATATTTTTTTAAATGAATACATATTACATTTTAAATCTGTTTTTATTATTCATAAGAAAATTAATAAATTATTTATAAAAAGTGAAAGAATTTTATAGAATTATGTATTAAACATTATATAAATATTTTACATAGCTTTTGTATATACTCAATGTTAACATTGTTGTAATTATTGATATAAAGGAAACAAAAATAAAATTGACTGTACTAAATTATTTTCTTGAGAAATTATTAGTCAATATTTTCATTTATATGTGACTTTTATGCTTATATATATAAATTATTTTGACATTAATTATGTTCAGTAAAGTTTTATACAGGGTGGAACCGAATAAAATGTTATGTAATAAAATAAAAATTGTTCAATCAGTGATTAAAAATAATTTTTTTTATCTGTATTTAACTTAGAGGAAAATACTATTAACCCTTAACTGGTTTCTTGGGGGCCGCGCGGCCCCCACGCGTCATATTTTTATGATTTTCTAAAAATCTAAATATCGTGTGCAGCTGCCATTTCATGTAATCTCATTACGTCGCGACTTTTAGCGAGTGCCAAATGTTTGGCCCTGTAGCACTTACAAAGATGGAGCTACGTATTTTCTGGGGGCTGTGCAGCCCCCACGATACCAGTTACGTTGGTTTTTTGTGGAAATGTGTTTTTATGTTTTTTTTAATTTTTACAATTATTTTGCAAAGATATCTCAATCTTGCATCAAAAATTCAAAATGACTACCAAAGAATCATTTGAACTGCTAATAGATGATAATATTATACAAATTGCTAGATCAAGCCGAAATCTTCTGAAAAGAGTATGTTGTCATTTTGTGCTGGAAAAAAAGATGGTAAATATGCTACTAAGTGCAACAGTTGTTTGAAATTTATTTGCAAAGTGCATAGTANTAGCAACTGGTGGTTCTGCAAATAAAAGATTGGCAGAAGCCTTATTAGCTTCAGCTAATCATGTTGAGAGTCTCACACCACAGTTAATAAATGCTGGAAGTAATTATTGATATAAAGGAAACAAAAATAAAATTGACTGTACTAAATTATTTTCTTGAGAAATTATTAGTCAATATTTTCATTTATATGTGACTTTTATGCTTATATATATAAATTATTAAATATATAAATTATTTTGACATTAATTACATTCAGTAAAATTTTATACAGGGTGGAACCAAATAAAATGTTATGTAATAAAATAAAAATTGTTCAATCAGTGATTAAAAATAATTTTTATCTGTTTTTTTATCTGTTTAACTTAGAGGAAAATACTATTAAATCAACTGAAGAACTTTCATGTGACCTTTCTTGGGATGAAAGTAGGGGTCATCTCTGAAATTTCAAGTGGAACTCTCAAAATGTTAACATATTTAGATTCTATGCTAAAATAAATATACAAATAAACCAAAACCCAGCTCAAAAAACATTTTTGTGCTGAATCATTTGTGTATTTACCTAGTTATCTGAGATATTAATGTTGATTCTATGTCAAAAAAAACTTTTTATTTTCAGAGGTTTTGAATTTAATAAAAAGGTTAATAAATTTAATAAATAGGTTATTAAATAAAGATTTAATAAAAACCTATAAAATAAAAGAGTAGAAATAATAATCAATTTGAAAAACTATATTTCTTTATTCAAATAGCATCCTATTTGAATAAAGAACTTGATCCTAAACACTTTCTGACAAAAAACATCTGTTAGTTGGGGTCAGATGAACAGAGAGCATTGAATGGGTTGACAATGTCCAATCCATCTCTGACCAAAAGTGCTTTCAGCAAAATGCAAGTTTTAGCCAAATGTAAGGATGCTCTATTACACTGGAGCCATATGCATTGTCTTACTGAAATTGACCAAACCCCTATTTCTAATAAGAATTAGATGAGAGTACTTTAGCTGATTTAACAGATGCTTTTCTAATGTAAACACTGACAAAAAAGTTAATTTTAATTATTGATTTACTAACACAGTATCAAGTCATAACACTATTTGTGCCAACCTGTATATTTCAGTCTCTAGTCATATCTAAATTTTATTTTTTCTATTTCAGGATCTCAGCCCTTGTTTGACAAAAGTTTCCAGAGAAGTCGATGCTAGAGAAAAAGAATTAACTATTCAAGTTCATCGTGAAATATTAATTAGGTGCCTTGATTCAATAAAAACACTTGCACCAATTTTCATTTGTAGTATGAAGATTTTTATTCAGATTTATTCTCAAGGTGGCAAAGGTTTAGAGGCAGCTGCAGAGAATAGAAACTATATGACTCAGAGAATGACAGATGAAATAAATGAAATTATTAGAGTCCTACCCTTAACAACATACGATGAAGACGAATGGGATGCTGATAACTTAACTGTTATGAAGAAAGCTCAAGTTGGTTATTTTATAATAGCTTTAATTATTTTTAAGTCAATTTATATATTAACTAAGATGAAAAATGTAAGTAATTAAAAGATTTGTGTATTTAGAATGCAATCGATGGTAAATTACAAGCGAGTCACGATTGGTTGGAGGATCCAATAGCAGTAACTGGTGGTATCGGAGAAAAATCTCTACGTCAAATTCTAGAATATGCTCAGAGAATAGCTGAACGCTCACTTCCACCTAATAATGATTCGATCAAAAAAATGTGTGGTGATATCAAATCTATGACTGATGGACTGTGTGAACTCAGACAAGATGGTAAAGTAAGCAATCATATAGTTTGTAAATATTGAAAATTTTAATTGCATAAAATAAACCATATTAATAAATGTACATGAAATTAAATAGGGAACATCTCCACAAGCTCAAGCTTTATCTAGGGGTATTGGTCAAAAATTAAAGGAACTAAATGGTTTAATTCAGCAAGCTGTAATAAATGTGGAGAGAAGTGGAATTCAACAACCTGCTCACACTATAGGAGGACGCATAGAGCAAGCTGAACAATGGCTTGCAAATCCTACCTATAATGATCGAGGATTTGGACAACATGCCATACAGCTCATTGTTGATGAGGGACATAAATTAGCCGAGAGCTGTCCCACTCAAAGAGGTGAACTTCATTATATGTGCAGTGAAATTGAATCTTTGACAAGACAGTTAGCAGAAATGTGTCGTGGAAAACAGGGTATTACTCCTCAAACTGAAGCCACAGCTAGAAAATTATTCATAAAATTACATGATTTGAAAAACCATATTCAACAAGCACTTGTGAATAGAGTAGTTGAAGATTTTATTGACATTACATCACCTTTGAAACATTTTACTGAAGCTGTACTAGCTCCAGAAGGTACAATAAATCGAGAAATTAATTTTCAAGATAAAGCCAAAGCTTTGAATCAGTTCTCTCAACTCACTTCCTGTACTGCAAGAAATGTAGCAACTGGTGGTTCTGCAAATAAAAGATTGGCAGAAGCCTTATTAGCTTCAGCTAATCATGTTGAGAGTCTCACACCACAGTTAATAAATGCTGGAAGTATTCGTATGAGTTATCCAGAAAATAAGGCAGTCGACGAGCATTTTGAGAATTTACGCAAACAATATGCAGAAAGTATACAGACTATGAGAAATTTAGCAGATGAAGCAACTGATACATGCAGTTTTATTAAGGCTTCTGAGGATTGTATAAGACAGCATACAGATGCTTGTGAAGGAAGCATTGTACGATTACAACCACAACACATGGTAGATAACACTTCCAGCATAGCTCGGCTAGCTAATCGAGTATTGATGGTAGCCAAACAAGAATCGGATAACTCAGAAGATCCATTGTTTGTGGGGAGAGTAAATCAAGCTGCAGATCAACTACAATCAACTGTAACACCTTTGGTTCACGATGCTAAAGCAGTAGCATTAAATATGATGGATCAAGTTGCAATTTCAAGATGGAGGCAGTCTAACAAAGCCGTCATAACAGCTGTTGGCCAAGTGAGATATGCAGTCATGACAACTCCAGAAGAACATCCTCCCGCTATTCCGCCTCCACCTGACATGAGTTCTCTTTACATTAATAAGCCACCACCTCGTCCACCACTTCCTGAAGATGATATCCCTCCACCACGCCCACCTCCTCCAGAAATGGATGATGAGTTTGNATCCTGAGAGTGCTGGAAGATCGTGCGTCGATGTTTCTTCCCCGATGATCGCTCTTGAGGTGTGCAGAGGGGTTTCTTCGGCTTAAGCGCCCTGGCTCAGCGCCGAGTAGAAAATCCGACCCCTTTATATACCCAATCAGCGTGGGAAAAATCTGAGAATTGTTGACGTCTTTTGACATCTCTCCCTGATTTATTACTGCGTCGTCGAAAAACTTATTTCCTTATATGGTCATTTTTATCGTCCGGTCGCTCGGACGTATGGGGGTCACGTGACATCGTGGTCCCTCGTCGATGACCTTCGGACGACGAAAGTCACCCTCACTAACTACGCAGTTAGTGAAAAAATAAAAACATCATTTGTAGTCTCACACTATCCCCCACTTTTTAAAAAATCGCTCACCTTTTTGGTGTGATTTTTCCCTTTTTCTTTTTTTTTTTGTTGTGGAATCCGAGATGATGTTTCTCATCCGGCCGAAGGCAAAACTAATCTTCGCAACAATTTCGGCTACATCAGGTAGGTTGCATTTTCCTTGATTGCTTGTCCTCTTGCTTCTGAATAAAAATTATCCTTTGCCGATTTCCGACGAATAGTGGTGTCGACCTTCGTGGGACCGGAAGCACTGTATATTTCGTTGGCTTCCGACCTGGGTCGTTGACCTGAAGCATTCTATATAGGTTCCTTTTCCTTCGGATTTCCAATCTCTCTCTCTCTCATTCTGTCTATAACTCTATTCTCTACTAATTATCCTTAAAACTAATTTCGCGTCACGTTCGCTTTTGCAAAAAAAAAATAAAAATGATTGACATATGCGTACATACCAGAACTCCACGTCGCGCTCGCGTAACAAAATGATAAGAGGTGGTCGAGTAACGCGTACAATTTTTTGTAAGAAGTCGACATATACCAACACACACTTACCAACAGTGTCCAACTTGAATATGGATTCCCCAATTTATCCGCCAGCTCGTCCGGTCAGTTCACTGTAAAGCTTCTTCATTTCCGTCAGTCTTATCATATACACTTCCGGTGTCCTGTCTCACTTTTCTCTCCATTCTTATCTCTCCTTCTCTCTCTCTTTAGCTATTAATTTCAAAATCGAGAAACTTAACTAACTCTTATTTCCCTATCTACCTAACAATTTTGGATTTTATCAAATCGCGACTGAAATTTTATTTGATTAATATAATCTATCATTCCAGTAAATAAAGATTCTTTCCCTAACATCGGCTCATTAGGGCTCTTCATCTCCCCTCTATCATACTTTTGTGTATTCCGCCTTTTTGCTAGGAAAGGATAACTAATTTCTTTTTGGTTTAAACCTTTCTCCTTCCGTGGAGATTTTTCTTTTTGAATTCGGATAGGAATGACGGTAGAAGGTGGCCATCTTCCCTTCTTTCGCCGCGACTTTCTCCGCGCGAAATTTTCTTGAATTATTGGAACGGTTTCCCACTCGGGCAAAGTATTGCTTCTATTCTCAATCTCTTCTTTTGCTTTTATGCGATCAGGCCTATAGGGCAACCTATGTTGTGTGACTATTGGCGCATTCATTCTAATAAGACCTACTTTAGTGGGTATTTCTACTTCTCGTCTTCCTACACCGCGGCCATGCGGTTCAACCGCTGAACAAAAATGTACCATTTTCCCATTAGGTAATATGATACGCTCCTTTGCGTCTTCTATATAAAATCCTTGTGCTTTAAGAATATCGTTTCCTATAATTCCTAGACAAGGACCTGTACTGTCTAGTCTAACTATTCTACATGTATGAACGAATTTATACCCTTGGAATTTAAAAACAGGTGAGAATATACCTAATGTTTTAATCTTCTCTCTATTAACTCTATTAATCTTTTTCTTGCTACCAAATTTTACATACGCCTTACCCTTAAGTTGATTTGCCAATTCATTCAATATAATTGTACATTCTAAACTGGGATCTATTTGCATCTTGACCGGAATATTATTAATGTATACTAAAACAATGGGTTTTTGTTTCGATCGAATCAATCCGATTCTTCCTAATCCCTTATTTTGTAGATTTTTCTCGCTAAAATTCTTAGCACGTTTTATATGCGAGTGTTTGCTTGTTCGACAACCCTTGTCCTTAACTGAGCTACATGGGATATATGTCAAACCTATTCTACCCTTCCACTTCGTCTCTTCCGTATCCTGAAAAGGGATATCTCTATGAGTTCGTGGTCGTTTCTTGGGTAGATTAATATGTCTTTCCGAGTTATTTTGCGGATTAAAATATTCTCTATTTAAATTTTCTATTTGCGCAGCAAGATCTCTTATCTGACTTTTCATTTGCTCCCAATCTTCGGAATGAGCTTCTGTGACCGTTCTTATAATTCCACGAGGAGGGTTTGTTAATTCCTCAATTGACTCCTCACTAATCGCTACCTCTAGTGCTTCATCAAAAGTTTTTGGCTCTCTAGACATGACGCGCTTTCTTATTTTCATGTCTATGCCGTTTAGAAATTGAACTCTCAAACGTTCGTCTAATTCCCTATCTTGTATTCGCCGAATTATGGCCCTTTCCGCTTCGTCTGTTCCCTCGTGTGAGATCTCTATCTCCGATGCCAATGCCTGCAATCTTACTGCGTATGTTTGGACATCTTCGCCTCTCTGTTGCACGCATCCATAAAATCTATTCAATCTTAAAGTGTAGGGAACCAGTTCAAATCGTTCGATCATAATTTTCTTAAAAGTATCAAAATCCTCAACTTCTTTTATCCGCCTATCCTTTCTATCAAATTCTCGCGCAATTCCTGTCAATTTAAGCTTTGCGACAGCTAAGATTTGCACTTTAGACCAAGCTGCAATTCTCATTACATCGGCAAGAGTATCAAAAAACTCCGTAATTTTAGTTCCAGACAGATCACCCGAAAATATTGGCAATAAGGGAATCATTTCCCCTAAACCTCCTACTGTTATGGGGTTACCTGCTGGAGTGACACGAGGATTTTCACCTGCTTCTGCCATTTTTATACTGAAATTTAGAATTTGGAAACTTTAAAGCAAGTCCTTATGACTTTTTTTAGAAACCTGTCTAAGGCGGACAACTTGCTTTCCGCAGACCCTGTGTAGACGGACCTGTCAGATACGACAAAAATTCCACTCCTGTAAACCAATGGTGAGTTTTTATAACACCTTGAATACGGAGATCCCTACTCCTGTGACATCAATATGTCGTATTTTGCAGGGGTTTTCAGATTCGAAAACTATATTCCAGAGTCACCAATTGTGAGTATCTATTATGGGTCTTTTGAGTTCAAACACCCCTCTCCTGCAAACCAGTATGTGAGTTCTTCGGGAGGTTTTGTGTTCAAAGACCCCACCCCTGAGTCACCAATATGTGAGTAGCAGGGGGCCACTGGGTTGAACCCTAATGACCGCTTAATCTGCACGGGTTGGAAAGACCCGCTCTTGGTTGTCGGATGGCATAGGAGGGCTAAAAATATGAGTGGGGAGGAGTCGGAAGTCGTAATCAGGTGTCCAAAAGACTACACGGGTTTAAATTAACGAACACATTTAATAAATAACTAAGAAAATTTACACAAAGATATTAAATACAACATACGCGTATCAAGATATAAATAGGTATTCTAAAATCTATTCTAACCTAACGCTAAAATCCGAGAGAGAGCTCACGTTAGAGAGAGATAAATAATAATGGCAAGGTTTTACCTCGAAGGCAACGTTCTCCAATTATAGGGCGTTGATAAAACACTCTGTGATCGTCGTCTTCTACTCTGAGATGTCCTTCTCAGGCCGTGCGGCTATGTCCGGTTACGGTGTATGCTCCGTCGCACCTAATCTGTAGAGAGTTCTTCCTGGTGAAGTTCGCTCGGAGGTTTCTTCTGTTAACCTCTTTGAGGAGTAATTCCGTCGTATGAGGAGAATAGAAAAATATTCAAAGTTTTTATCTTTGTATGGAGCGGCGATTATGAGCTTCGTAGATCCTGAGAGTGCTGGAAGATCGTGCGTCGATGTTTCTTCCCCGATGATCGCTCTTGAGGTGTGCAGAGGGGTTTCTTCGGCTTAAGCGCCCTGGCTCAGCGCCGAGTAGAAAATCCGACCCTTTTATATACCCAATCAGCGTGGGAAAAATCTGAGAATTGTTGACGTCTTTTGACATCTCTCCCTGATTTATTACCGCGTCGTCGAAAAACTTATTTCCTTATATGGTCATTTTTATCGTCCGGTCGCTCGGACGTATGGGGGTCACGTGACATCGTGGTCCCTCGTCGATGACCTTCGGACGACGAAAGTCACCCTCACTAACTACGCAGTTAGTGAAAAAATAAAAACATCGTTCGTAGTCTCACAATATGTACTATTTCTTAGTTAATTCTTAATTCTTTTACAATCAACCAAACAGTCAATTGACAATCATTTGATATCACCTGTTGTACATATTCAACAGTGTCAGGATTTCTGCTTGTCAAAGGATGACCAAGATTGGATNTATGAAATATTAAACACACACACAAATATATAAAAAGCTATTAGATATTTTAAAAGTATTGAAATGCTTTTTACAAAAATAACTATCAAAAATTGTTATATATTTAATTTCCTCATCTTTCAGTTGTATGAAATTTGTTACTGCTATACCTTGTATATTTATAAGGAATAGAACTAACAAGTCTATAAAAAAAATATAAATGCAGTAAAATTATAGTACCTATAAATCAATATTCATTAAATAGACTCCATGGATGTAAATTCAAAGAGGAAGAAAATTATTCATAAAATTAAAAAAGATATCAGGAACATGAAAAAATAAGTTACAACATTATGGTTTGTTTTGAAGAGTTGTTTAAAATAATTCAAGACAAAGAATGATTTATTGAAATCATCTAAATGAAGTGCAATTTATAACTCTGAATTTTTTTTCTCAATTTCTCAAGTGAATATATGAANTCTTGTCATGGAGTTGGCTGGCAACACAAGGCATCTACAAGCTTCCATGGGCCAGCTGACATGAGTCCCATTGAACACTTTCTGGAATCTGCTGGATTGTGCAATGTGACAACATTCACAAAAACTTTTTAGTGGAAAACTTTTAGACTGTTTTGTGTGCCAAGTGGGCAATATTCCACAGACCAAAGTGGTTAAACTCATTCATTTCATACATGACTGGGTTAAAGTTTTGAAGAAAGCGAGTGTGGGACAACTAGGTTTTAAAACGCATTTGTGGAATTTGCAACACACAGTTTTGTGAAATATAAGACAATGTCTAAAAATAAGGGTTCTATTTACTTATGAATTTTCCCTATTGATGTCTAATTTATCCATTAAAATTTTTTGATCCTTTTATTTTAATTTATATCAGTTTTAAAACTTTACATTGACAAACATCTCCAACCCGATATATAATATCGGGGTACAGACTGCCGAAAATCTATCGGGCTAGTTTTATGCTAATTATTAAATAAATTACGTAATCAATTTGGTACTAGAGGTAAGCGTTAGGCGCNATATTCTTCAGTAGGCTAAAAAACAAAACATCCATTCTGTTCATAGACAACATGGCTCTTGTAATGGAACTGGCTGGCAACACAAGGCATCTACAAGCTTCCATGGGCCAGCTGACATGAGTCCCATTGAACACTTTCTGGAATCTGCTGGATTGTGACAACATTCACAAAAACTGTTTTCAGTGGCAAACTTTTAGACTGTTTTGTGTGCCAAGTGGGCAATATTCCACAGACCAAGGTGGCAAAACTCATTCATTTCATACATGACTGGGTTAAGGCTTTGAAGAAAGCAAGTGTGGGACAACTAAGTTTTAAAATGCATTTGTGGAATTTGTAACACACAGTTTTGTGAAATATAAGACAATGTCTAAAAATAAGGGTTCTATTTACTTATGAATTGTCCCTATTGATGTCTAATTTATCCATTAAAATTTTTTGAACCTTTTATTTTAATTTATATCAGTTTTAAAACTTTACATTGACATTCATAGAATCCATAATTTCCTGTTTATGGAATATCTTTAGAATGCCAACAAACCTTTCAACTCATCAGTGTAAAAATTAATGAAGAAACTCAAGTTTCACAAAGTTTTGTTAATCTCTATCATTGATGATGAGCCAAAAGGCTGGCAAATGATTGGAAACTACAGAAAATACACTAACNATTCTTTACTGAGGATTGTATAAGACAGCATACAGATGCTTGTGAAGGAAGCATTGTACGATTACAACCACAACACATGGTAGATAACACTTCCAGCATAGCTCGGCTAGCTAATCGAGTATTGATGGTAGCCAAACAAGAATCGGATAACTCAGAAGATCCATTGTTTGTGGGGAGAGTAAATCAAGCTGCAGATCAACTACAATCAACTGTAACACCTTTGGTTCACGATGCTAAAGCAGTAGCATTAAATATGATGGATCAAGTTGCAATTTCAAGATGGAGGCAGTCTAACAAAGCCGTCATAACAGCTGTTGGCCAAGTGAGATATGCAGTCATGACAACTCCAGAAGAACATCCTCCCGCTATTCCGCCTCCACCTGACATGAGTTCTCTTTACATTAATAAGCCACCACCTCGTCCACCACTTCCTGAAGATGATATCCCTCCACCACGCCCACCTCCTCCAGAAATGGATGATGAGTTTGAAGCAAAGTTTCCTACNTAATTTATCTAATAATTAGCATAAAACTAGCCCGATAGATTTTCGGCAGTCTGTTGGTTGTAGCTTTACATTGACATTCATAGAATCCATAATTTCCTGTTTATGGAAGATCTTTAGAATGCCAACAAACTTTTCAACTCATCAGTGTAAAAATTAATGAAGAAACTCAAGTTTCACAAAGTTTTTGTTAATCTCTATCATTGATGATGAGCCAAAAGGCTGGCAAATGATTGGAAACTACAGAAAATACACTAACTTTTCTAACAAAGCAAGAAATAAGACTTTAACAATTTGAGAAGCAAATTTTAGTATTCTTAGAATATGATAAATAACCTTTACATTTTGGTATTATCCAGGCCCTAAATCGATTACCATATTACAATTTACAAAGCATACGTTTAATATTTTGAAAGTTGTATGCTTTTGATTTTTATGTTTTTTAATGACTTAAATGTAAATTTGATTTCAAAATATAAGTGTAATAATTAAATGTTTTTAAAGATGGCAGCTCATGGCTTGCATCAAGAAGTTAGACAGTGGTCCAGTCGAGATGACAAAATTATTGAAGCAGCTAAAAAAATGGCTTTGCTAACTGCCAATTTAAGTAATTTAGTAAGGTAAAAGAAACTTTTTATTATGATAATTCTGATTTAGATAAGATTTACATATGATTATTTATATGTAGAGGAGAAGGAGGAACGAAAAAAGATCTCATTGCCTGTGCTAAAGCCATTGCAGAGGCTTCGGATGAGGTTACCCGTCTAGCAAAAGAACTGGCTAGGATGTGCACAGATAAACGAATGCGAACTAATATTCTTCAAGTTTGTGAACGTATACCAACAATAGGAACTCAGTTGCGTATATTATCAACAGTTAAAGCAACGATGTTAGGTGCACAAGGTACTGATGAGGACCAAGAAGCCACCGACATGTTGGTTGGCAATGCTCAGAATCTAATGCAATCAGTAAAAGAAACTGTGCGGGCCTGCGAGGCAGCCTCCATTAAAATCCGCACAGATTCCGGACTAACGGTTCGCTGGGTACGAAAACAACCGTGGTATCAATACTAGTAAACAGAAATGATATAATAACTAATCAGTAATTAAATATAATCTATTTTCTTTGCAAAACCTTGGAAAGTTCTAAGAAAAAAAATGGAAAAAATCAACATATATATATTGTATAGTTGAAAAAAACTAAAAGAAATAGTTGGTCAGAAACATTTTTTTTGCAATATAAAAAGTTGGAATTCTAATATCCCATATCACATTTTCCTGCTGTTCCATATCTATGAATTTGATATGAAAACAAAAATTTATAGTAATTAAACTTCAGACATTTGTGCAATTTTACTTATATTATTTTACAAATTTAAAAAAGTTATATATACACATATATATATTTTTATTGTAATGTTAATTTACAATATTTTTGAAAGTATTAGAATACTTTTATTCAGTTCCTTAATAGACTTAGTATTATTTTTCTTTTTTGTTACAAATTTTGTTTGTTAGATCTGCGAGCGTAAAATGTGTATCGAGTGAAACGTCAGGAGTGAAGGGTAATCTCTCGGAGATTGCTCGGTGCTGCTTAATTTAATTTTGCCATTTTGAATTATTTTTTAGGCCTGCTTATATACCTCTTTCCCATTTGCTGAAATGGATAGAATGTGGTTTTTTCTGTATTAATTTTGTAAGTGCATGTGTGCATGTTTTTATTTCATTTTTATATAATGATAAAGATTTGAAAAAAACTGAATTTCCATGCAAATTATTGTGCCAAGTCTATGAAATGTTAAAAAAAATCTGTTAATGAAAGTTTACTATTGTGAAAATTGCAGCCAATTATTTTATATTCTGTACAAGCAGTGGAAAATACAAAGGACCAGCTTTAAAAAAAAATTACAATAAATTGTTTCATGTTTAACCAATTTGTTTTAATTTTATTAAATTATCTGAAAAAACATATTAAGAATTTATTAAGTATGATGAAATTAGACAAATTTTTTTTTAACCGTACAATTTACATACACACAGGTCTACACAGCTTAATTAAAACCATACTTAAGAGTTTCTTTCACCAATATTTTAAAGACTAAACTTCAAATCATGTAAACACATTTTATAAAATAGTCAAGTGAGGACTTAAAATAAATTCCAACAGGATACAACAAAATAATACAATATTATGGATTAAATGAGTGAGGAGCATACACTATTACTGTTACTCTATTGATTGTGACTAGAAAAATATTATAGCCTTCCTGATATTGAATTCTAACAGTTGAAGTTTACACTACATAGTTTTCTTGAAATTTAAACTAACGGTTACACTGAATCTTATTATACTAACAGTTGTATTGTGACTTCATTGGAATATGGAAACAAACAGATGAGCTAGTATGTAAAAAATTTAACAATTGAATCAGTTTGGAGCACCTAAGGGCAGTTTCTCTCCATAGTGACTTAAGAGTAAAATCTACCTAAAACAGATCTTTGAAAAATAGCAAATCTTGAAACTGAACAATTTTCTTCATAAAATACTTGAGTATTATAATCCAGAAGACTATTTAATGCAGAAACAGTAGACTTTTTGCAAACAGTTAGATAATCTGAGTAAAGAATTTTTTTAGAAAGAACTAAATAATCATTAAAACACATTGAAACTATATTGAGTTTTCTTATGCTAATTTGTTTCTTCTGCATCAAAATTATATATGTGGTGCAGAGGAAAAATTCTGGTGAGCCAGTATTGATCTTCATTTATAAAAACATGATCCTCACATTGCCATTTCCTAGTCAAAACAGAAAAATTTGGCTAGTATTATTACATTCTATTTTTAGACAGTTTTAATATAAAGTTTTTTGAACTAAATCACATGCAATGTGCTTTTATTTTCATCATTAACATTAACAGAGTTTTCTATTTTCTAGGTCATGTCCAACTCAAAATATATTCAACACATGACTTATAATTGATAGAAATATACCTCCTTTATGCACAATTTGGCCTGTGGATTGAGAAATCATAAGTTTGGGCACCACTGAATTAGATAATGTTCAACTAATAACATTACCCACATGCAGACAATGGGGAAAGTATGGACTTCCCATTGTTGTTTGTCCTAAAACTCGATAGGTAATGATATCTGAAATCAGGTATGGAAAGATTGGGGATAGGATTAAGGATTACCTTGAAGAACTCTGCTTCTACTGTACTATTTTTGCAGGAAATCTAAAATATTTTTAGACCCATCTAAAAATTCTCTAATTAGCCTCGGAAGAGGGGGGAATCTAATTCTTGCACCTGGTGAAAATGGGTAAGATCAGCTATAATCTTAATCTTCGCTATCTTTACTTTTTGCCCGAGCATGGGGCTGGGCTCATCTGCTAGTATGGACGTAGATAAAACAAAATTTCTTTTAATTTTTTAGTTTCTTATTGTTGAAGAGCTTCTCAACAAGTTAATTAGTTTAACAATATTGATGCAACATTATAATTCTTGTTGGTGCAACACTTAGTAACTCAGATCTCAGAATAGAATCAACCAGGACCATAAGAAGACATGAATTTCTACCACCCCATTCTCCACCATATGGCCCTCTAGGTCCTGCACACTTGCTGGGTGTTGCCCTGTTGTTGCTAGTTGTGAAGGGGTTCCCATAAGAGTTCAACGATATCAAAAATTTATGTCCACCATCAAACACTTTTTAGACTTGGTGTNTGTTTGTTTTTAACAAAACAATTTTATAAATATTTTAAGTTATTTATTTATTTTTTATTGTAGCTGTAACACCTTTGGTTCACGATGCTAAAGCAGTAGCATTAAATATGATGGATCAAGTTGCAATTTCAAGATGGAGGCAGTCTAACAAAGCCGTACGTATATTTATTTGTACTATAAATTCTATACATAATTTTAAATTTAATTGTTAATCTTTCAGGTCATAACAGCTGTTGGCCAAGTGAGATATGCAGTCATGACAACTCCAGAAGAACAGCCTCCCGCTATTCCGCCTCCACCTGACATGAGTTCTCTTTACATTAATAGTAATTATTGTTTGTTTATTATATTAAAATATTGTTAACTACCAGATAATAAACATTACACTTTAAGGGAATTCAGACCTTACATGAAAGTACCAATTTTATCTTTTGCTTCATTGTTTAATTTATTTATTTCTGATCTAATTATGTTCAGATAAAGGGCATCTGCATGTTGTGGAGAAAATCCTTCTGTTCATTTAATTTTATTCTTTATAGAAAAAGAACAGCTGATCGACTATCCTGATTTCAATGAAATATTTAATGTGGATTTTAATTCAATCTTTGCGCCCACTGTTTCTCCTCAGTTTACCGCATCGCCACCGAGAGGTAGTTTTTTGATCGGTTTTCAGAGAGTGGAGAATATAGAAATTTTAACTTCAGCATGAAGCTTTGCTGTTTGAGGACATACAACGAGTTTGCATGATCGATAACAAATAATTTTTTTCCCCTCCACAGTAAAACTTTTATTGACTGACTGGCATAATTTCTCTGGATTGAACTCATTGATCTAACTGTTTATGCATGGAATAAATAACTTGGATAATAAATTTTGTGTGTTTTCAGTGAGAGATAACAGGATTGAAATTTTTTTCAGTTTGATTTTGATGTCCATTCTCCAGGATTTGTTAAGGATATTTTATGGAGTTTATATCTATCCTGTATATACATTTTCTAATTTTTAGTTATTTATATAAATTTCAGTTGAAGATACAGATGCCAAAAAGAAATTATCTCCTCTTCCAGCTCATTATCATTTCTTCTCTAATAAAGGTATTTAAATTTATTTGAAAATTTGTTTATAGCACTTTTCATTGATTCAGCTGATTCTGCTGCAGCTTTAAAGATTTAATATTTTAAATGCTTCTTAAATTTTTTACAATAAAATCTAAGATTTATTATTAAATTAGTTCAACAGATTATTCTTCTTCGATAAAGATCAAAAGAAATCCTAAAAGTTGCATTATTTAATCCATTTTCTGTTTAATCAAACCATCATATGCTTGAAAAAGTAGAAGTAGAAAAAGTATGAAAATTATTTACTCTAATACTAGGGTACTTTAAATCATAAAATAATTGATTTAATTTAAATTCTTAGCTGAAAAAAGAATTAAATTGAGTCAATGTTTTATCTGTGCATCATAATAAACAGACAAAATATAACTTGAATTCAATTTAATTATTTAAATAATTAAAATATTTGGAAAGTGCTAATAAACATTTATGCATGAATTTTATTGATTATTACAATTTCAAGTGGTAAAAAAATAAAAATTATTTATTTTTCAGTCTCACCTACAGTTCGTCAGCAACCATCTCCTTCACATTCTCCTATACCTTCCCCTCACACACCTTCTCATTCTCCACGACCTCTTTCTCCTTTGCCTAAGTGGGCAAGAGGTACTGTGAAAATTTCTATGGCAACACAAATATGAATTTAAAATGATTGATATAGACTCTAGATTATTTTATTAAATAAGTTGCAAGAAAAACAAATTTTGAAATTTCAAAAAGACAAACAAAATTTCGCTGTTAAAAAGTTGAAAATTTTCCAAATATTTTTTTACTTAAATGAAATCTTTCTCACTTAGGCAATACTTCAGACCTCCTATATCAAGAAATGTATCGCGATCAGAAAGAGGATATTTATCCACTCTCATCAGAAGAGAAAGGCAGGTTTTACATCAAGAGTTAAAATAAATTACCATTTTTTTGCAAGACATTTTATTTTCAGCATGTTTCTGGTCTCTCAATTGTTTTCAATTCATTCTTTGTCACCATCAGTTTACTTTTCACCATTAACCAATTAAAATTTGTTTTTTAATATGATATGAGCATGTATTTCATTTGTATTTTAATTGTATTTGTGTACAGTTTAGATTAATGATGTATTTCCCTTCAAGAGTTGTAGAATTATTCACAGGCAATGTTTTCTAGGTTTAGCAGCATGCAGCTTGTGCAAATTTGATGAATTAAGCATGTAAATTGGAATTTATTTATACTGTTATTTATTTTTACATCAATATTTTTCATTATCCAGCATGTGAAATCTTCATCAACAATTTTATTTTAACTCTTTAAAAATCTTTTTTCTCTCTTAAAGATATTATTTTTGAAATATTGAAATTTAATTGCAAGCAAATTTCTTTTTTGTAGAGCCACCACCTCGTCCACCACTTCCTGAAGATGATATCCCTCCACCACGCCCACCTCCTCCAGAAATGGATGATGAGTTTGAAGCAAAGTTTCCTACACTCCAACCTAATCAACCCATCATGGTAAAATTTCAAATTTAAAAAATTTTTTACTTCATTTTTACTCTGTTGTGATTCTGTGTGTACATGGATGAAATTGTAAC